TTATACCTACCATCAAAAAAGATGGGGGTATATTGAATTTGTCATTCCGTTTGTAATACATCTAAATATTGGTCATAGACCCACAAAAGTATATATATTCTGGGTCCTTAATAAATTCTAAGACGATCTAGCCATGTCCGTCCGTCTGCCCGTCTGTCCCTCTGTCTGTTGAAATCTCGATAGGGACCACACGGGAGGAGCTAGGCAGTTGAAATTTTGCATAAATATTCTCTATTACTAAGGTTTAATTGGTATTGAAAATGGGAAAAATCAGTTCACGTTTTCGGATAGCCCCCGTACAAAAAAAAAAAAAAGCTTTAACGGGCATAACTGTTAGCTAAAAATATAGCAATAAAATTTGACACAATTAAGTTTCTCGTGAGCCAAAATCTTTCTACCAGCTTTTATGTGGATCGGTCCATAATTGACCCTACCCCCATATGAGGTCCCCTTCAGAAAATGGCTTTAACGATCATTTCTGGCTTAAAAGTACGAATAAAGCGATAAAGTAAGTTCCTCGCGAGTCAAAATTTCTCTACCAAATTGTATGTGGATCGGTCCAAAATTGACCCTAGTCCCCATATAAGGTCTCCTTCAGAAAATTGATTAAAAGATTATTGCTGACTTAAAACGACCAGTACCGCAATTCAGTAACTTTTTAACTACAAAATTTTGTCGTTAAATAGTATAAAGTTAACAATAATTGTCGTTATTTGATATTCTGAATTTGATTTCGCCGATTTTTTTCGTTAAACAAAATCATTAGTTAACGAAAAGTATCGGCAATGTAACGACAAATAAAAAGTTCACGTTAATAATTTTATATTTTAAAAACATTTCAATATAAAACTTTTGACATTCTCATATTTTTCCGACATTTGTCGTTAAAATATTCTAAGTTCGTTAAAAAGTTACCGAATTGAAAATTTGTTAATACAACCGATGTTTGTCGTTACTTTACGATATCGATAGTTAAAATTAAAAAATTACAGAATTGCGGTACAGTTATGAATACGGTTATGAAATTCGACATAAAAAACTTTACTACGAATGCTACCGAATTTCATGCGGAATGTGTCGGTAACTCACCCGACACCGGTAACGAAAATATGTAGACAAAAAATACTAATCTATAGAATAGAGGTAAGACTAGTCTATAGACTAGAGGAAATATTATTTTATAGAACTAGACCAGTATATAGACTGCACAATATTCTAACCTTTAGAACTAGTCTAGAGGAAAGAAAAGTCTATAGACTATAGGAAAGACTATAGTGTATACAATAGAGAAAATACTATAGATTAGATACTAGACAAGTATATAAAACAACGACTAATTCATAGACTAGGAAATAGTATTTATATATAGAAGTTATTTGGACAACATCATTTAAAACTCTCACCAGTTGCAGTATCTATACATACATACATATATGTATGTATGTATGACAAACATCTAAAAATTACACTGCATTATGTATGGTGTGGCGTTCAACAAGTTTAAAAAATTAAGTTTAATTATTGTTAATATCATTAAATATTCTGACCCTTGATAAATTACATGGATAACATCAAAAAATTTACACGTACATTTACACTATACATATGTGTAAATTTTATTCGTATCTATTATATTATGCCATTTAAATCAACAAGTGACACGTAGATGAACTTTGCACCTTGTAGTGGTAAATTAAAATAATGAACTACAAAAAAACAAAAAACACTGAACACAAAAATAAAAACAAAAACCACGGAAATACATGAGTGGTTTATCAAGGTGTATTAAAATGTCAGGCTGGTCTTTTTAAATGTTAGCCACATACATATACAAACATGAACGCACATTGCCCAACAGTTATGTAAGGATCCTTTAACATGGAACATTCCTAGGACGAATTTAGTATCTACATATACCAACATAATCTAGCAACTAATAATCAATTTCTTTGTGAACTCTCGATTTGTAATCGTAATTCTAGTAAAGAAAATGAGGTTATAGTTTATAAAGGGTCAGTTGAATTGCTTTTGAGAACCAATAGTTTGGGCCAACTTCTTTAAACTGCAGGTTTGATTTAATAATACGTTCATACCTATGTATATAAATAATTTTTTTTACCATTAACGGCTAACTGTTTGTGACATATTCTTTATTTCCTCACACACAAATACATACATGCATACGACATTCAATTAAATATTAATACCAGTGAGTTTGTGTATGTGTGTGTGTCAATTAATAGCCGACTAAAAGCAACAATTGTTTTATTATCATCAACATACATCTACCATTTAGTTAAATAATTTAACATGATGTTGATAGTAAAATAATCGTACATATATTATTTTGGTCTTTAGACAAATAATTAAAGTCACGTAAAGGCGTTAAGAAAACTGCATGGCCAGCGAAATAGATAGTATGTGGGTAAAAAGTGGCATTAACTTAATTACACAGTAAGTGTTGTATTTTTTAAGGGCTAATTATTATTAGTATATGTAACTTTATTGAGTTAAATTAAAACTTTAGAATGAATTAAAACTAAAGGCGGAAAACACAGTATAAATATGGAAATTATGTATGTGAGACACTAATTGAGTTTTCAGTCACATATCGAACATAAGAGCAATTTTTAAAAGTATATTTATATAATCCCTATGTGTATCTTTCGAATGAATGGTCGAACATATGTACATTGAAGCACCTAACTAGGTGCCTGAATTTTGCTCAAAATATTCCCTATTAATGTGATTTGTTTTGGTATTGAAAGGTCAATCAATTTATATTTAAAAGATCTACAAAAAAATAAGTCTTTCTCCTTAAAATATAAGAACAACTAAAGTATTTTTCGAGGAATGGCTTAACATTGTCTCTGACTAGTTGTGGAGAACGAGTAACTAAGATTCTTATACTAGATTCTTAACATAACTGCTCTATCCTCCACGAAGTTGAAAATATCAACTCAAAACTGTCGAAACCTCAATTTTTTACTTTTTGGTCTTAGCTTGGTACAACATCGTTCTAAGCGCAAAACTAATCATAAACTTCTTGGGAATTACATATAACGCAATATTTCACACACATTTTGACATCATAACAGACTATTAGATATGTCTGGTTTTTCATTCTCGGTAAACCTCTCGAGAAGAAAGCAATGTTCATTAAGTTTATGCTTCAGTTCAACTACCCTAAGGATATGGTAGTAGTTTTACTTAATAGCAATTTTCACTGATCCAACTGGATGTTGCCCTTATTGCTGACGTGGAATTAATAAGGCTAAGACCCTTTTGAATAAACTGGAAAGTTCCAACTCATCCCCTGACTCAGGGGTTGTGATTTATACTATCGCTAAACTGCAAATACGAGAGAAAGATCTATTTAACTAGCAATACTAACAGTGAAAAGCAGAATTAGTAGTAAATTGATCATATAGTGTGGTTGGAATGAAAACAGGAGTTGGTGATATCTTCAAATGGAAAAGAACGCTCAGCATATCTGCTTAAACTTGGGTTCTCAAGTAAGTGACATAACCCGAGTTCCGTAGTGGTCATTTTGGCAAAAGAACGGCAGCAATGTAAAAATCTAGGAGAGTTTATCATCAATCGAAAGGTGATCAAGATGTGAGCCCCCGAAGTTTTCAAACTAATAGACAGCTTATATCTGATCGTCCACTACTGTTGACAACATATGGCTGACTAGTTAATTACATACTGTTGTAAAACATCCCAGTAGTTCGGGGGCACAAGCTATTTAACCTACAACTTATGTTTACTCCTAGCCATCCATCCATCTACCCAGGTGACGATTTATTTTAACATGTTTCTTTTCTGGGATGAAGTCAATCATACACTTTATAGATTACAAAGAGATAGTCAGAAAGCTAGTCTAAAGGAGTCAATACATCGTAATAAACCTTTAGGCTTAAGTTTTTTAAATGTCTATTATTTAAATTACTAGGGGACAGTAAAGTGATTACCGCCTCCGCTCTCTCTCTCTTACAAATGGTATACTCAAGTGATAAGTGTCTTTACACTCCTTTAAAATGAGTACATTCGTGCCGGAAGACGAATTAGAGCCAACCAAGTGGTAGACCATATGGCATATGATTGTCATTTTCAAATGCGTTAAATCTTTGTCGATCACATGGGATCTTCAGAATCATAGAGAAAACATTGTAAATAGCTTATATGACTCAAGTTGTTTTGCAATATATTTCGATAGAGTGGTATTTGGGCCAAACGAGAGCAGACAATTAGTCGATCTTAATAATAAATTATATAATAATGGATCGTTTTGTGTAATTTATCAGTAAAATTGTGCCCATTAATTCAAACGAGTTAAACCAACAAAACCTGAAACTTATTATAAAACTATGATTTAATAAGACATTTTTTTATATTCTTTGTATGATCTCATTCCGATTGATATTATATCTCCAAAAAACCATTTAAAGGTCTTTTTTCACCAAATAACATTTTATTTAATTTTATAACAAAGTTTCTTTAAAATTTAATACAACTATTTTTAAAATGTTTAAGGTAAATGTTATCATTTTATTTAAATTTAATTAAAAATACTCCATCAACATGAAAATATATACAAGTCAGTCAGCCAAACTGTCAGGCAGTTCCACAACTGTAGATAAACAAGCCGCCATAATAGTAAATTCACACACACACACACACACATACACTAACATAAACCCCACATAGATATAAACTCGAACTCGAATACAAAGTAACAGCTATTTAAAATTCGATTTCAAAGAAATTAGCATAAACAAACATTTGGCAACGGCTGCCAAACTGAAACTTTATAAAACAAAAATTAATTTCAGCAAAAATATCATGGATAGTAAAAAAAACGAAAGAAAAATGTATACCTTGCATCAAAAAAGAAAACAAAATTTAACGAAAAATTTTATTGTAGACAAGTATAATAAAGAATGGAGAGGAAAAAAAAAAACTTAATAAAAACCCAAAATAGATAAAAATATACTTACTTGGCAAACCAGGATCCATCGTTGCTAGTAAAACGATCCACAAAATTGTGCAAGGAAATCGCTGATATATCACTTAAAGCATAGTAATGTGTTAAATTGTATTCAGGCAACCAGTTTGGTTCTCCCAAAGTATTTGCCAATTGTAAATCCATATAATACTGGGTATAGTCCAAAACCTATAATTATGCATGAATATAAAAAAAAAACAACAACATGAAAAGAAAATCAAAAACAATAAAAATGTAGGAAGATACTAAGAAATTTTTACAAGGAAAAGTGGTATGATGAAGTGTATGTATTGTATTCGCCCAATTTAAATATGTATTATTTTTTATGTATTTTGTATATGTTTTGTTCATGGTTACAAAGTCAAGTGTTGAGTTTGCCATGGTCTAGTATTTTTATGAGTTTTTTTTTTTTTGTTTGTTTTTTAGTTTTGGTTTTATAAGTAAATGGAAACGATAAATGCAAACACCAGCAGAAAAAAAAACTAACAGACGTGTAGGAAAACTTACATTTTTTGCAGTTTTCGCCCCATAATACAAACACAGCACATTTACATTATTTTTACCTTTTTTGTGAGTGTGTAACAAATTTTATTTCGTGTAGGTCCTTGGTAGGTGTGGTTGTATAAAAATTCATACGTGGGTTAATTTTTAATTTGTGTAGATTTATTAATGAATCTGTTGAAAAATGTTCTAAAAAGGTTTTGATTCCTACCAACACCCGTTTCAAAGTATTGGATCTAAATTTTCGATCGACTCGGCAGAAGATTGCCAACATAGCGTCAGCGTCTTAGTGTATAAAGCGAATGGTTTCTCTCAAGAAAGTATTCACAGTAAAAGTAGTCATGTTGCCCCAACCACCAAAAGAATGAAAAACTTTGAGTCAGTTTTTAGAAAACTAACGATTACCTAAAACAGGACTGGGAAATTATTTATCTTGTTAAGAGTCTTAGTCTACATATCTACATATTACATTAAATCTACATATTAAACTTTGGGTATTAACTTTAAAATTTAAACTAATTATAAATTAACACTCGCATAATTTGTAACGTTACTTCAGCATAACAATTCAAATTGCATGATGTTTTTCTAGTGTTCATTCCGTTCGTTCGTTTCGTTTTTTTTTTTCTTAAACCAAAAGTGTGGCATAAATTTAAAACGCGTTGAGAAAATAGTTTGTGAACAATTTAAATTGTAAAATATCATAAATACTTATTTACATACATACAGTTGTATGTTGGTATGTCATTTAACTGTATCGTATGTACATTTCTATTATGTCATTTTAAGATATATAGTTTTTAGCTTTTTGCAATTTTATATACAAAAAATATTTTTATTTACATAAAAAGTTGTTGGCGTTTGTGAAAAACAATGCTAAGAAAGTTTTTAACTAAGTGAGAAAATGTATATAAGCTTAAAAGTAATAATTTTAAAAGAATGATTTTTTTAATGGCTAGTAAAAGAACTCACTACATTGAGACTTATGAAATGCCCCAAAAAATTTTAACTAAAGAAGAATTTTTCCAAATAGAGAAAAATATAGCAAAACACCAACGAATGTGCTATATTTAAATCGAAAGTGAATCTCGAAAAACTGCCCTATATGTAGACTAGAATGCAATTAAATTAAAATAATGCAAATACAGTCCCCAGAGACTATAGACCAGATTGTAGACTACACTGTATACTAGACTATAGACTAGACTATAGACTATACTATAGACTAGACTATAGACTAGACTATAGACTAGACTATAGATTAGACTATAGACTAGACTATAGACTATAGACTAGACTATAGACTAGACTATAGACTAGATTATAGACTAGACTATAGACTAGACTATAGACTAGACTATAGACTAGACTATAGACTAGACTATAGACTAGACTATAGACTAGACTATAGACTAGACTATAGACTAGACTATACACTAGACTATAGACTAGACTATAGACTAGACTATAGACTAGACTAGACTATAGACTAGACTATAGACTAGACTATAGACTAGACTATAGACTAGACTATAGACTAGACTATAGACTAGACTATAGACTAGACTATAGACTAGACTATAGACTAGACTATAGACTAGACTATAGACTAGACTATAGACTAGACTATAGACTAGACTATAGACTAGACTATAGACTAGACTATAGACTAGACTATAGACTAGACTATAGACTAGATAGACTAGACTATAGACTAGACTATAGACTAGACTATAGACTAGACTATAGACTAGACTATAGACTAGACTATAGACTAGACTATAGACTAGACTATAGACTAGACTATAGACTAGACTATAGACTAGACTATGACTAGACTATAGACTAGACTATAGACTAGACTATAGACTAGACTATAGACTAGACTATAGACTAGACTATAGACTAGACTATAGACTAGACTATAGACTAGACTATAGACTAGACTATAGACTACACTATAGACTACACTATAGACTAGACTATAGACTAGACTATAGACTAGACTATAGACTACACTATAGACTAGACTATAGACTAGACTATAGACTAGACTATAGACTAGACTATAGACTAGACTATAGACTAGACTATAGACTAGACTATAGACTAACTAGACTAGACTATAGACTAGACTATAGACTAGACTATAGACTAGACTATAGACTAGACTATAGACTAGACTATAGACTAGACTATAGACTAGACTATAGACTAGACTATAGACTAGACTATAGACTAGACTATAGACTAGACTATAGACTAGACTATAGACTAGACTTAGACTACTAGACTAGACTATAGACTAGACTATAGACTAGACTATGACTAGACATAGCTAGACTATAGACTAGACTATAGACTAGACTATAGACTAACTATAGACTAGACTATAGACTAGACTATAGACTAGACTATAGACTAGACTATAGACTAGACTAGACTAGACTAGAGACTAGACTATAGACGACTATAGACTAGCTATATACTAGACTATAGACTAGACTAGCGACTACTAGACTAGACTATAGACTAGACTATAGACTAGACTATCGACTAACTATAGACTAGACTATAGACTAGACTATAGACTAGAACTATAGAACTAGACTATAGACTAGACTATAGACTAGACTATAGACTAGACTATAGACTAGAAACTATAGACTAGACTATAGACTAGACTATAGACTAGACTATAGACTAGACTATAGACTAGACTATAGACTAGACTATAGACTAGACTATAGACTAGACTATAGACTAGACTATAGACTAGACTATAGACTAGACTAGACTATAGACTAGACTATAGACTAGACTATAGACTAGACTATAGACTAGACTATAGACTAGACTATAGACTAGACTATAGACTAGACTATAGACTAGACTGTAAATTGGACTATACACTTGTCTAGACTATAGACTTGACTGTAGGCTAGGGTATACATTAGTCTAGACTATATACTAGAATGTACGACTTTTATTTACGTGTATAGACTAGACTATAGACTAGACTATAGACTAGACTATAGACTAGACTATAGACTAGACTATAGACTAGACTATAGACTAGACTATAGACTAGACTATAGACTAGACTATAGACTAGACTATAGACTAGACTGTAAATTGGACTATACACTTGTCTAGACTATAGACTTGACTGTAGGCTAGGGTATACATTAGTCTAGACTATATACTAGAATGTACGACTTTTATTTACGTGTAGGAGCACGAACAAATTCTAAAATTAAACCTGGGAATATTAAAGTAGTATTTGCTATACCTATTAAGTTTTCATTCCATTAATTAATCTTAAACCAAAAATTGTCATTGAGGAAATATCTATGTATGTAACCAAAAGCATATAAATAATTAAGAAAAACATAAATTTTCTTTAATTTTTTAACCATATTTATGTAACTTCTTTAAGAACAATTTCGCATGACACATATTTCAAATCATTCTAACTATGAATCAACACATACTCATATTTCATAACGAAAAGCCATAAAGGATGAAAACAATAAAAAATAGTACTCTACAGTGAAAGTTGGGATCTTGTATGCCCACATATATGAATACATACATATTTACATTTGTATGTTGGAATATTCTTATAAGCATTTTGGAATTCAAGTACAACTGCATACACATGTAATACACATATCAGTGTATGTAATAGTATATGTGTCATGTATATTGAATTTTTGTTGAACTACTGATGTTGAAAACCATTACATATAAACAATTCTTATTTGATTTGTCGATTTTTTTTGTTCGACTTTTATGTATTGTGTCATTGCAACACATATGAAATGCTTATACAGATCTATGAGCATCTGTGTTTGTATCTGTCTGATGCTTGAAAATATGTCTATATGTTGGATTGTCCTTATTGGAACTTGGTGAATATATACGAACATACATACTTCATTTTACAATATCCAATTTCTGCAGTTTAATTGTAAATTTCAACACTCTGCCAAACGTCGTTGGTTTTGAACAACAATATAGTAAATGTTCCACATTTTCTTTATGTTTCCTTTGCCCTCCTTTCGCCTACTCATATTCATACTCCTTAAGTTCTGTGTGTCAGTTTACTATTGTAACAAAAATATATCGCAATTGTAGAACTTTTCCATTTTTTTTCAGTTTCAAGTTTTTTGTTACATAAATGAGAAAAAAGAAAATAATAAATCATTGAAAATGAATGTAATGAAAACAAGTTCACTCGAAAAATTATATCAATTTGATCAAGCGATTTATTTATTCTCAAGAATATAAAGAAGAATTATTCTGATATTCTTATTCAAGAATTTCGGAGATTTATGAAAGTGTTTTCAACGGGAGTAAAATTAGTCCATAAAATATTATGTATGTGTTCATATAACTAAATGTTAATGTTTATTTTAAAAGCTTGTATTCAAAGTCTGAGAGTTCATTTAAATTTCTTTGCCTCATCCTGGTTTAGGAAAATCATAAAATAACTTCCAAGCTGATAGTTGATCTCTAAATTATATTCCGTTTGATAACTTACAATTATTTACGAGTGTATTATAGCTGCATACGAGCAACATTTAAAGAATTATTTAACATGCACAAGAAGCCTTAAATGTCCTACTTTCATTTCCGTTTAAAGGTTTTTGTGTCTGGTCGAGTACTTTTTTACTTTTTTTCTGAATCTGAATGTTTGCCACAAGACGATTTGACTAAAGTGCTTGAACATTTAAATTGAATACAATTTAGTAAACATTTTTAATCAAAATTTTAGTAAAGTGAATAAAGTTGATACTTTTGTAGCAATTTGGAGACACTTTTCTTATAGAATATTGTTTCCATTTGGAGACATTTTCATTTCGAAAATTGCCATCATTTGAAGACTTATACAAAATTGTCTCCATTTGGAGACACTGTGGAAAATTATCTCTATTTGTAGGCATTTTTCTTATGGAAAATTGTCGCCTTTTGTAGACACTTTCAGTATGGAAATTTCTTAGTATTTGGAAACCCTTTTCTTATAGAAAATTGCACTTTTCTCATAGAAAGCTGTCTCCACTTGGAGACATTTTTTTATAGAAAATTGCAGCCATCTGGAAAATTATTAATTATAGAAAATTATTTGGAGACACTTTTCTTATGGAAAATTGTCTCTAGGTAGAGAAACTTTTCTTATTGAAAATTGTCGCAATTTTCAGGCACTATAGAAAATTGTTTCCAGTTGGAGAGACTATAGAAAATCATCTCCATTTGAAGATATTTCCCATATAGAAAATTGTCTCCATTTGCGGAGACTTTAGAAAATTTCCTTACAGAAAACTTTCCTGAGAGAAAATTTGGAGACTATTTTCTTACAGAAAATTGTCTTCATTTGGATATACATTCCTTACAGAAAATTGTCTCTATTTCTACATTTTCCTTTTAGAAAATTGTCTTCATTAGAAGACAATATAGAAAATTGTTTCCATTCGAAGAGACTATAAAATATTACCTCCATTTTCCTTATAGAAAATTTTCTCCATTATAAGACCCTTTCCTTATAGAAAATTGTTTACAGTTGAAGACCTTTTGCTTATAGAGAATTTACCCAATTTGGAAACAATTTTCTTATAGAATATTTTAGCCATTTGGAGACACTTTTCATATAAAAAGTAGTCTACAATTGGAGACACTTTTCATATAGAAAGTAGTCTCCAATTGGAGCCACTTTTCATATAGAAAGTAGTCTCCAATTGGAGCCACTTTTCATATAGAAAGTAGTCTCCAATTGGAGACACTTTTCATATAGAAAGTAGTCTCCAATTGAAGACACTTTTCATATAGAAAGTAGTCTCCAATTGGAGACACTTTTCATATAGAAAGTCTCTATTTGGAGACACTTTCATATAGAAAGTCTCTATTTGGAGACACTTTTCCTATAGAAAATTTAACAATTTGATGACACTTTTCTGACAGAAAATTGACTCCATTTGGAGTAACCAACACACATCCATAAACTATTTTGTACACATTCGCAGATGTTTTTGTTTGTACCCTATTTTTAGATACGAAGCTATCTACAATTTCTCAAGCATAAATTGCTAAACTTTTATAAAAAAAATCCATTTTTTTTTCCTTTTTTCATATAAGTTACAATTTCTATAAAACAAGCCCTTGTAGACTTTTATTTGACTTACAAACATTTTGCAGCTTTAAAGTTCATAGAGTAATGTTAAGTGGTTTTTCTGGTCAATGTTCTTTAGTTTCGGTTTTGACTATACATATGTATGTATGTATGTATGTCTGTATGTGTAAGTAGTATATTGTTTTGTCTTTATTTGTTGCTTACATTTTGTTGTAAATGTCATTGTTGTTATTGTTATTATGGTTACAATAGTTGCTGCTATTGCTACTTTTGTTGTTGTAGTTGTTGTTTGCTATTAACGTGTATTTAGTTATGTTTTGTAAATTGTAATTGCAAAACCAGAAAGAATTTAAATTTGTTGTGTGCTCAGAAGATGATGTCCTTATGAAAACAATAACAACAACAAAATTGAAATGAAAAGGGAAAAATCTTTTTCTCTCTCTTTATCTGTTTATGTACGTATGTGTATGTGAAAATTTAGGGTATTTCATTGTATTCAGTAGTTTAATGAATGTGCAGTGGATAACCCGTCAGTTCTTGGAGCCTTTCTCGAAGTCCATTTACAGACTACAGTTAGATTATTTTTAGTAATGTTCCTTAAAAAATAGTTATTTAGTAATCAGAAAATATACAAAATCGAGTCACAGAGGTATTTGGGAAAATGAATGAATTAGTAACATTGTCTTTGCGCAAAAATGCTGGGATATTGTAGAATTGGGTATGTAAGCTTGCGTTGAGAATTCATTATACTTAGCCTGGTTATTTTACCATTCCTTTTGTGTATTATGAGCCTGTATAAATATGTTTGTTTGTATATGTCTCTGTTTTGTTTTACGACTATATGGTTTTTTGTGTATTAGTCTTTAGAAATGTATTGTATGTATCGTGTGTCCATGTTTGTGTAGATATATGCAACAAATACAAACATATACCCATAATGTAATGTAATTGTTATTATACTGACCTGACCAGAATCTGTGTCGAATTTGTATAAACGCATGGCTGGATTGTTCGAGCCAACACTCATTTTCCTTGGTGTAACTGATGGTGAAATCATCATCCATGAAACTGGTTTGCCTGTAATGCATTTAAATTGAATAGATTTAGTAAATAAGACAACAACAACAAAAATAATCGCAAACAAAAACTCTATAACAAATAATACATACAAATAAAAGAAAAACCCCAATATAGGAGATGTTTCGAAGATGAAGAAGAACTAAATATAAATATGTATGTAGAATAAGAAGCCAACTACAAATAAATTGGGCAAACGACAAAAAAAGCTGCTGCAATACAAATTTCAAATTGAAAATATATATGTAACTTGCTACATTAATATACATAGCAATATGCACTATACTATTCCATTCCCTATCTATATGATTTTCTCTCCAGTTAATAGAGTATCTTTTGTTTGACTATGAAATGCTTGAGTTGAAAATTACTGTCCCCTTTGTTTATATTTGCAAATTTTCTCTAATGTCATTAGCTAAGCAAATAAAATGTCTGAAAATTACTGCAATTCGGAAACAATAGTGTTTTGTTATTACAAAATTAATTTCTTGATAACTCATTTAATGCTTCTTAATTTTTATTTTAAATATATATATGTGAAGTTCGGTCAAGTATAGACTGGTGTAAGGAGATTTTTTCCTAATTATACCTAGAGGTATTAATTTTAATGTTGTAAATCTTGGGAATAATAATTACGATCTCAAGAGCAATGGAAGGTTCATAAGTTAAACAGGGCAAAAAATCTTATAAATAAAAAAACTTTTAAAAATGATACTATTATCAAAATGGTGGCCCGCGATAGGTTAGTGTTCTAGTCTGTTAGATCGGAGGTGGTTCGATTCGCACCTGAGGTATTGATTAAGGAGCGCACGACAGGTCCGATGGAGGCCTAGGAGTATGTCTTTGGATTGATGATCTTCTAACTAACTAACTAACTAACTAACTAACTAACTAACTAACTAACTAACTAACTAACTAACTACTAACTAACTAACTAACTAACTAACTACTAACTAACTAACTAACTAACTAACTAACTAACTAACTAACTACTAACTAACTAACTAACTAACTAACTAACTAACTAACTAACTACTAACTAACTAACTAACTAACTAACTAACTAACTAACTAACTAACTAACTACTAACTAACTAACTAACTAACTAACTAACTAACTAACTAACTAACTAACTAACTAACTAACTAACTAACTAACTAACTAACTAACTAACTAACTAACTAACTAACTAACTAACTAACTAACTAACTAACTAACTAACTACTAACTAACTACTAACTAACTACTAACTAACTAACTAACTAACTAACTAACTAACTAACTAACTAACTAACTAACTAACTAACTAACTAACTAACTACTAACTAACTAACTAACTAACTAACTAACTACTAACTAACTAACTAACTAACTAACTAACTAACTAACTAACTAACTACTAACTAACTAACTAACTAACTAACTAACTAACTAACTAACTAACTACTAACTAACTAACTAACTAACTAACTAACTAACTAACTAACTAACTAACTAACTAACTAACTAACTAACTAACTAACTAACTAACTAACTAACTAACTAACTACTACTAACTAACTAACTAACTAACTAACTAACTAACTAACTAACTAACTAACTAACTAACTACCTAACTAACTAACTAACTAACTAACTAACTAACTAACTAACTAACTAACACTAACTAACTAACTAACTAACTAACTAACTAACTAACTAACTAACTACTAACTAACTAACTAACTAACTAACTAACTAACTAACTAACTAACTAACTAACTACTAACTAACTAACTAACTAACTAACTACTAACTAAACTAACTACTACTAACTAACTAACTACTACTAACTAACTAACTAACTAACTAACTAACTAACTAACTACTAACTAACTAACTAACTAACTAACTACTAACTAACTACTACTAACTAACTAACTAACTAACTAACTAACTAACTAACTAACTAACTACTACTAACTAACTAACTAACTAACTAACTAACTAACTAACTACTAACTAACTAACTAACTACTAACTAACTAACTAACTAACTAACTAACTAACTAACTAACTAACTAACTAACTAACTAACTAACTAACTAACTACTAACTAACTAACTAACTAACTAACTACTAACTAACTAACTAACTAACTAACTAACTACTACTAACTAACTAACTAACTAACTAACTAACTAACTAACTAACTACTAACTACTAACTAACTACTAACTAACTAACCAGTAGTGGGTACTACCTCCAAATTGGTCACCTCTGATAGACAATACTGATAAAAAAGTTACAGTTATATACAATTCATCATAATACATATGGGCCATTTCATGTCAAGTGTAATATTAGAAAAATATATTTTTTTTGGAATTTAAACAAAGTTTCTAATAATAATGCAAAACTTTTGTTTTTGCTAACTATACATAAAAAAAGGACTTCAATATTAATTTTTTTTTTCTATTTTTGCATTAAATTAAATATAACTATTTGAAATAGTTGAAAGCAATTTTTCCATTTAAAAGAAGTAGAAAAAACAAAACAAACACACCAACTTGCATTCTGTTCTGTGCTCTAAAGTTTATATCCGTTTTAACTTTATCCACATCCTTTTATTTTTTAACAATTTAATTTTTTTCTCTTATTTCTACAAACAATGTTAATTTGTCGACATGCAAAACTTTTTGCTAACAACTCTCACTCCTTCTTTATGTTTTCATTTCCTCTTAACATCCCTTTCTCAGCTAAACCACCTCAGCAAAATTGCTGTAATGTAGTTGTTGAGCTTTTAGTCATTTTTTTTAGCTTCAGTGTTGTTTGTTCGCAGTATGTGGTAACCAAACCCAAACAAATTGAATTATGGTTTCTAAGTTGGTTTGTCATATTAGGGCGCCTATAAAATACGTGACGAATGACCAGAAAAAACAAGAGGCTAACGAATTGCTGAGTAATCTTGAACTGCACAAAAAAAAGAAGCAGTAACGAATGAGCAAAATTGTAAGTATGAAATAGAAGAATGAAAAACACACACACACAAAACGTACACGAAAGGAAAAGGATATTCCATGTTGAACTCTTAAGTGTCTTTTAACCTTAAATAACACATACACACAACCACAAACTGATACAGACCTATAGATTAAACCTAAATACCCAGCAGTTCAGGGGGAATATTTTGAGCTAATTATTTGGAGTTATCCTGGGTTCTGGGATTAGTTATGACTAGTTCCCTAGAAACTAAAAAATTGAGTTAAACAGTTATTTAGTTAAATATTTTTACAAAACTCTATCCAAGAAAGCTACATTGACCTCTTTTAAAACGGTTGGGTAAAAATAAAAAAACACACATGAATACATTTTTAATACAATTGCAATCTATAACATTCATGATGTTGCTGTTGATGATGATGATGATTATTGAGAATAGTACTTGACTAGACAAATAATAAAAATGTTTGTATATACTGATGTCTAACTGCTACTGGGTATTTTCGGTATCATTTTTTCCTCTCTTTGGGTGACCAGGTCAATAGATTTAAAACTAACTCTTAACATTGTTTAAATACCTACTTATTGTTTGCTTCTTATTATGGTAACCTTAATACGAAAAAATATTTCTTATTATGTAGAGATTTTTTTTTATTGGCAACTCAATAGAAAATCAATGTAACAAATATGTATTTATAAAATAAAAAAAGCTATGCCCCATTTTCCATTCCTTAATAAAAGTATATAAATAATTCAATGGCTTGATTACAAGTTTTGTATGTTTTTGGTATGAGAACAAAATATATTAAAAAAAGATTTGCTGGAATTTTAAAGTATTTAAACTATTTCATTTTGTGGTAGCAAACAAATATTTCAATAAGAATTTACCAAAAAAAAAGACAGGGATAAAGCACTAAAAGTTTGTTTTATGTTACTTTATTTAAGTACTTTATTGCTAAATTGTTGGGAAAGTATTAGAAAAGATGACTATTAAATATGTATGTATGTATGTGCGTGTTTGTACATTAAGGTCTCTCGTCAAACAGAAACTTTAAAATAAAAATATGTTTTTAAGAAAATATTTTTAACATTTTTTAGATTTTCGTAGTGTGGCTTTGTGGCGTATACGTATTAATTAATTGCAGAATAATACTTAGGGATTATTTTATTGGACTTCAACTCACGATTTAGGAAAAACATTTTTTTTTTTGTTATTTTAGACTTTTCTCCTATAGTTTCCGAGAAAAATGGAATCTATATACTGATTCAAAGATTTTCGCTATGTTGGACCTATATCTTCCAATTTCCGTGAAAAATATACATTTATGTTTCAACTCAAAAAATCGATTTTTGGAAGGATTAAGAAAGTTAGTCTTGTTTGGCACTCAACATACAGATTCCGGGAAAATGTTTCGACTCAAAAAATTCGATTTTTGGATGGAAAAAAGTAGGTCGGGAAAAATGGAACTAATTTAACTAATATTTTCGTTATTTTGGACCTATTTCTTATAATTTCCGGAAAGTGTGGACTTTTATGTTTCCACTCAAAAAAAAAAATCGAATTTTGGATTGAAAGATGTGCTTTTTGATATTGTTGACCTATCTCTTATAGTTTCCGGGAAACAAATGAAGTTTTCATTTTCCACTCAAAAAATTCAATTTTTGGATGGAAAAAAGTAATTACAGATTTTCGCTATTTTGGACCTATCTCTTATAGTTTTCGAGAAAAGTGGACTTTTATGTTTTCAATCAAAAAATCTGACTTCTAAATGGAGAAAAGAGATCAGATTTTCGAGAAAAATGGAAGTGATGGAAAAAAGTGATCACAGATTTTCGTTATTTTTGACCTATTTCTTAAAGTATCCAGAAAATATAGACTTTTATATTTCAACTCAAAAATGTCGATTTTTGGATTGAAAGAAGATTTTTGTTCTTTTGGACCTACGCAACTCTTATAGTTTCCGGAAAAAAATGGACTTTTGTGTTTAAACTTTGGATGGAAAAAAATCATCACAGT